GCAAACCCTTCCAGTGCAATGTATATGCAGTATGCTGTACAAAGACAATGCTGCCTGCAGTGTCAAATAACACAGACTTACCCAGACCAAGTTTTTTTCATTACAGATACTGTTTTTAAAACAGTTGCATCAAAAGCTTTAATTGAATGATTAAAGTTTAATCTCTTACCAATTATGATTAAGTAGAGTTCCTACAACTGTAATCAGAGCACCTCTTTGCCATTATTGCCCAGCAGCTACAGCTTCAAGAGCCACAGTATAGAGAGAATTCTGTTGCACATTACACTTTAACCAAGAGCATCAAGCAGAACATCAAGCATAATGCATTTTTCATGTTTAACCCAGTGAACAAGCCTTTTTCCCAAGACTGAGAAGTTAGCCTTTAACAACAGCAACCCAAGGCAAAAGGATTACAAGAAACATAGCAGCATTTGCAACAGGCTTTAAAGCAATCTAATTAGCTATCTGTAGCTAATCTGCTATGTTTTGTGAGAAAACCAGCAACCTAATAACTGGATCGTCATCAGAAACAAAATGCTAACAGTGAAATACTACATTTTCCTCCACCATCTGCATCCTATAAAATCCTGTCAATACCTCACTGTCTACCAAATAGCTTAAGAAATATCTGCCCTATTTTAGGCTTAGAACTACAACGAGAGGCAGTCAGGTTTAAGTACCACCTTCCAAAAGAAAAGGATTCAACACCTGTTGGATGCAGAATTTCAACTTTACAATGAAGTGAAATTTCACAAAACATTTATGATGAAATAAAATAGATTCATTGATACAAGATGTTAGTCATCCTCACTTAAAACTTGAGGAACATATTATTACAAAATTTGTGTTTGTAGATTTGCTAAGTCAATTACAGGTAGTAGTTTAGAACACCACTAAACAACTTTCAGGAAAGTGAACTTACATTACCCACAATTACACCCTATGAATATTAATTATTTTGCTTTGAACGTTACCCACTACTACTTCCTTTTCACTTCCCTTCTCAACCATTCATCTCACTGACATCCACAAAGCAAAAACACTGCAAAGAGGCAAATGTTCAATTAATGTAATGATTTAACTGTACTATGCTATAGCATTTTTTTTCCTTCTCCCAGCCTTCAAAGAACACTGTTTACAGGGTGAAAACCTACTTTCCCCTCAAGCACTCTATTTTAGGAGTGTTTTGTTCTTGTCCAAGTTATTTAAAACTATGTATTTGTTATCAATTCAGAACACTGATGCTCTTTCTAATACTGCTATAGTTACCATATAAAGCCCAAATGCAGCACTGCTTTGTTTCATCTGCTAAATCATGTGCCAGTGTTTGAACAATTTATCCTTAAACCAAGAGCTTCAGAGAAACAGCTGCTTAACAGTAAAAAAAAGTAAAATAAGTTTAAAAAAACAAAAACTATTTAAATACAGTATATTATTCTAATTCAATAAAAAAAAATCCTTTACTGTCTCATTTCTGAGAAAATATATCCGAGACACCAGAAAATACAGGGTTGATATCAATTTAAAATATGAAAGACAATCCTTGATTATCAGCATCACATCCAGTCCTCACTTTATTCCCCAGGTCTTAGTAAAAGAATAAAAGATTGTTCTCCCCTTCCCAGGAAATAGATTAGGTAGGCATGACATTTTCCCACTTCACCGTCGCATGCGGTAATAAGCTTTCCTTTTGTAGCACTTATGAATTCAAACAGTGCTGGGGTTAAGCCGGAGCAAAGCAATTTGGCATGCTTGCATCTGCTTTTATCAGGGAAAGGAAAAGCAATCCATGAGGTCTGGACTGACCTTAAAGCACAAGTATTTATTTGGAGATTCTAAGGGCTTACCAATTGTGTTTGGTAAGAGGGAACTTAAATTTGATCACACTCACGCCCAATGTCACCTTAATTCAGGCAATCACCTTCCAGTTCTTCTGCAGGGCCAATAATGTAATTGGTGTTCTGGTACTATGAATATTCTCTTTAAAAAGGAGATATTAACTACACACTCCCATTCTAACATGCTTCTTTCTACAGGACATAGCAGGTTTCCAAAGTTAGATGCTTCCAAATTCAGATAACTTACTTAAAAAAATTAAATCTATGCTGGTCAATGCAATTATATTTTCAAAGTGTATCTAAGTGTACTCTTTGATGCCTCTGATATACAATGGTCCCAGAAAAATATTAAAGTCAATCATTTTACAAGTAAACAAATACTATAGAAAATTGTCTTAAAAATCTCTGACATATGAAAGAGCTGGTTTGGAAAAACACATTCAGGGAATACACTTCTTCCTCTAGGAGCTCGACACTTCTGTTTTATTTCAAGGCAACATTGCTCCAGCTCTTTCATGAAATCTGAGCAACTTTCAGTGTTTCCAACTCTCATGTCCACAATAAATTAAAAGAAATGCATTAGAAACAATTAGTGGGGAAACATTTATTGCCTCTCAATGACAAAGATACTTGATCAAATTAAGATCCACTGCAATGCAAGCAGTAAAAAAATGTGAATACATAGTGTGCTGCTTTGCAAATGGAACTTTTCCATCTTTCCACCTAATAAATAGTACTGTTATTGCCAGATTATGATGTGCCAGTGATTAAGGTTTTATTTTTCTTTTTTTTTCCTTTATTCACTCTTCCTCCATCTGGAAAATCTGAGACTATTTTAAAACTGACAGTACACAAAATTAATTCTCAATGACATGATAAGCAAGTCCCATATTTCATACATTCTAGGTACACCAGCATCCTATATTCAAATACAGACTGTGCAGATGTGGCTCTTAGGGACATGGTCTAGTGGTAGTGCTTGGCTAATGGTGGAACGCAATGATCTTAAAGGTCTTTCCAACCTAAACGATTCTAAATGTACATTCCACAACATAAAAATGACCAACAAGAAAGAGAACTCTTGTAATTCTTAACTCCTCTGCTGATTACTTGAACTGAGCATAGAATTCCAGAAGGAAAGACCCTTCATTCCTTTCTTCTCTAAGTTCCCTTCAGCGCTCCTGTTTTCTCTGTCTGGAGCCAGACTAATATCAGCTCAAACACAAACATGCCAAGAGAATCAGGAATTCAAGCCTCATGTTTTCACAAAAAGATAAATTGATTCAGTTCACCAGGGCTGCTCAGGGCTCAAAAGCAAAGCAATCAGGCTCTCGACGAGCCACAGAGATCAGCACGTGCAATTCCATTACAGCCAAGGACAAGGTTCTGCAGTCCGGACGCTTCACTGCCATTTTCTGCTCACCCAGCCCCTGTGCTTAACATCCCACTAACACACAAAGGACAGACCTAAACTGCCTCTTCAATCCGAACAAAAGCTGCACGATTCTCTTAATTTGACATCAAACCCAGATCAGTAGCCAATGCTAAGGGGCAAATCATACATGGCAGCTTGAGTTGAACTCAGAGCTAAAGGGGTGAGACAGCAGCTTCAGGACGGAGCTGGCTCGTATTCACCAGTTCACAACAAAGGTGTGGTGAGTTTCTACCTACATGACTAGAGCATCTAAGAAACGTGCTCATACAAGGGCAGAATTAGTCACCACCTCCTCTCCAGAGAATTTTCCTCCTGCCAGGATCTCTCCAAGGAAAAGCAAGTCTGACAATTAATGTAGGCAACAGCACCTGACAGCAGCTGTGCAGATGTGCCACCTAAAGGACGCAGGTATTGTGAGGGACCGAACTGACATTTTCAGCCTGTTCTCAAACACAGAACAGGAGAAAGAACTGGATGTGCGCATGTGTGAGTACGAAATGGAAGCCAGATCTATCTAAATTAATTATAAGGAGGTTATTTGGTTCAAGGTCACCTATGGCAGACAACACCACAGTTACCACAATAACTTCAGGTAAAAAGATTAGACAGGTACAACAGCTGTTAACCTAGGGTGCTGCTGCCACGTACAGACCTCCACTTTCTAGCTTCTCTTAAATGTTTTCCTTTGAAAATACTTTTATTTATTAGAAATATTTGCTTGCTCCAATCTCTTTTTTCTGATATGTTTTTTTACCAATTAACAGCTCAACTGTCTATATATATTAAAAATTCATGTACCATGTCATAAAAGGCAAACATGATCAGGAAAAAAAAATAAACTCACACCACAGCACAGCATACATTTGCTTCTTCTGGGCTATACAAATCTGATGTTTGACTGGTCTTTAAACAATTGATCACAGTGATTTACAACTTATAATGACACAAAATCATATCAATTTAAATTTCACTGCATAATGTGACTATCTTGAATTTCTACCTCTTTCTCTTATGTTGAAGGCTGCTTTAATTATCCCAGTTCAACTTTCTGAATGTGACAACAGAAAACGGTGAAGTGAAAAATGAAAAGGTGAAGTTGCTGAAACAAATATAAGCTTATGGGATACCTGAATCTCAGCAAAATAGCTTATTGATGAAAACGGGTCTTTGTCAGGCTGCCTGATGTAATATCCAGTCTCTTTTTAGCAAAAAAAAAATCCTATTTCTACTTTAGCTATTAATCAAAGAACAATTATGTTATACGTTTATGAGCAAGTACAAAATGCTGAATTATCTCAAAAGACTTCAGTTATTGTGATATTATTCACACAGATAACTATTATGCTCTGCTACCTAAATTTTAGGTATTTATCCACTCAATACACAGTGAAAATCCACAGTTATGCAGCCTTAACTATCTTAATTTCCTGCTTTCCATTGAAATCCTTGATGCACACTACTACACAAGCAAGCCTCATGCAAATTCAGAAGAACCATTAAAAAGTCACTTTCAATTTTCTTGTTTTTCCCACCTGGCATTATTAATCAAGGGAGCAGACGCAGGACCAGTGCATTTATTTTTAAATACACTGGCATTCATCTTTGCAAACATAACTACAACAGCACAACTTAACCACTGTGAACAAAGCAGAAGTCAGCACTTATTCTCTAAGATTTGGAGACGCTCAGCATATCAACTTTCTTTACATTTTCCCTCTGTCACTCACCCCTTTTGTCTGACAGCGAAGCCAGGTGGCTAAAGAAGTTGTCCTGTCAGCTTAATCTTCAATCTCTGCATGCAGATCTGTGAATGCAACACAAAGGGTGTAAGGCAATGCTTGTCACTGCAATGTAAGAAATACACTTACCTTCAGAGTATCCTCTTTCTGTAATTTGAAACTACAAAGAGATAATAAATACATGTTTGGCCTATTAATAATAAACAACATTAATAATGATGTTTATTTTGTACAGCTACTACTGTGTGGAAAAAGTCTGTACAAACAGATGTTGCTTCCCTCTACTGCTTGAATGACCCCATTGTTTGGTCACTAACACTGAACTCATGCAGCAGTCCTGTACATGGACAGGGGAGCCAAGGCTGAAGCAATTTTGGCCAATGCCAATTTGCCACAGAAGTTAAAAGGTGCTGCCCTGCATGTCAGCAAGACAACTCAACAGAGATAAAAGATCAACTTGTACAACCCCAAGTTTAATCTGGAAATGATTAACAAACAGGTAGAAGTAACTACCAAAGGAAGTGGGCACTGAATCCCTCTCAGTCTCTTCAAATGAAGAGAATCTTTCCAGCTTCCAGATCCACTTCAGCTGAGCATGTTACCAGCCTCCATCCAGGGAAACGAGAGACATTTACATTCCCCAACAGGAGCTCAAAGGAAGAACTTCAGCGATCTCTTTTGATCTCTACAACTATTAGTCTCTACCTCGTAACTCTAGGTACAATTTTTATCTAAGTTTAGCACAAAAAGAAACATAAATTTCTGCAAAACCAAAATTGTTTGAGACTTTCCTTCAGTTTTCCTGGAAAAATTGATGGAGAATTACTTCTTGTCTGCACCTTGTCACTGCTCCCAAAAAAACTCCCATTTCTACCCTCTTCCCTCTTTTAATTTCAGAATTGCACCTAAATTATAATGATTCTTCAAATTATTTAGACTAGCAAGAGCTGGCTACATAAGGAGTAAGATACCCATTCCAACAAAAACAGTTCAAATCAAGGAATAAAGCTGCATGTCTTTTAGCTAGGAACTTCAGAGGTAGGAAATAGCAGCACAGATTTCAGGTGCTTTTGTCTTCACCACTGCTGAAAATACTTAGAGAGATTTTAAGTGTGCCTATATACATTATATATGCATGTTTTTATCAGCATGCATTTGGGTTATTCCCTTAGAAATCCCTCACTCTTGTCCACGGAAAATCTGATTCAGGTTTTAGAGTTCTTACTGGGAAAAGAAAAACAATATATATAAAATATATTTCAGCCTTTATATGTTACAGGTTTTGTGACAGAAGCAGCAGCTTTCTGCTGTTTAAAAAGTTCCTGTTCACTTACATTTTACTTCTGAGCTTGTTTTGGATATTCTTCATTTGTGACATTGCCAATGATCTATTCTGGTCAGAAATCATAGGATTTATTTCTGTTGAGCAAACCACTGAGCTTACATCCAGTCTCTTTTTAGCATTCTTTATTTTTTTTCTTTTTTTTTTTTGTTTTTTCTTTTTTTTTAAGGAGGCCAAGAACTACTGGTTTTCCCAACTAACTGCACTCTGGAAGTTCATTACACACTCATTCTGGTTCTGTGTCGTGCTCCCAATGATTATATAGTGTGTACATGCTGTCTATAACGATCAGGTGATGAGAATTCAGCTGAACATCTTTATCTAATTCTTCAGACCTAGAGCATTGTGTCCCATTTCATTTTCATAAGACTTATTTCAAACTTTTGCAAAGCAGGTCTTGGGTGCAAACCTGATGTTTTTCTTTGTTTTTTTCCTTTCCATGGCTCTCTAAGCCACCCCCAGAGTTCATCAGATAGAATGGCATCAGTCGTTGTTGAGCTTTACAACAGTCATATTGATTGGTATCTCCCAAAGGCACATTGTCATCGTTTTACCACTGATGGGGTTATGGGCAGTCACACACTTTGACATTCCCCTTAGATGTGATAAATGCAATCCTCATTTTCTCAGATCTTGTGCAAATCACCACAAATCCATCGATCACAGAATGACCCTTTCTATTCCACTGAAACTGCAAAATCCAAAGATAGAAATAGCTTCCTAATTCATACACACACCATACATTCCATAGTCCTATTTTTTATTAGATTGGGCTGATTCAGCTCATCATTTCCATGATGAAAATACCAACTGGTGTATTCCTTTTGAATAATGTTGTACAGCATCACTCTGAATAAAACATTATTAACAGTTTCTCCCCAACTATAATCTATCTAATTTTTGAATAACAGAAGGCATTCCTGACATGTGTCACATGTTAATCATTTTGTTTGTGGACTGCCACAATCATTATTATTGTAACAATCATTATTATTGTAACAAACTACCACTTGGTAGTTGTTACTGGCTGAAGTTTTATTTGGAAATTTTACTCTAGTAAAAACATTTTTAAAACTACACATAACAGGCTAGAAAAATTTCTTCCTATGCTTAACATAGGAAAAAACCACTAATCAGCATTTACTAAGCATTATGGTTTGTGCACCTTTTGCCAATATTCTCAAAATAAGTAAAAATTGGTCATTGCAACAATAAAGCAGCCAAGTCAGTCATATATGAACTTCAAAGAGTAACCAGCACAGACTCAGTGCCTGAACATTGCTCCTATCACAGAACTACAGAGTGTAGAGATTATGGCAAGATTTGGCCCAAGGTACAAAATTCTAGATGCACTATTTTGGGAAATGTAATAAAATCTTGATAAAGGTTTGAACACTTCAAATGCTAAGTAAGTGCTTGTGATGAAAAAAGATGCCTGTCACTGCCCTACCGAATTATAAAACTGTTCTTAGTTTTGGGTCTTAAATATACAATTAAAAGCTTTCCATCTTTCATTTCAGATAAGGAAATTGCAATTCTTCTTTGGAAATTAACTTTCCATCTAGTTCCTGGACATGTTTTTTTTTAATTATTATTTTTGAACCACATCTCATTTAATTACTAAATGTGGCTTGCATTTGCATCTCTGGAAATAGTTTTTTAATTCTTTCTTCTTCTAGCATTTCATATGCATGGGGTGTGAGCAGGTTGCTGACTATGCTGATAGGCGGGGAGCAGGGAGAATCCTCTCTCCACATTTCATTCAGATAACAGAAAGCTGCAAGCTGCTCAGTGTGACAGATGAGCTCTGTGAGCTAAAGCAACTTGTTCCGCCTGTCAGGCTGCAAGAGCCTACAGCAGCAAGATACAATTGTGATGACACCACCATCGCCAAACTGGGTCAAACATACGGTCACTTTAAAACAGAATGTCACCCCCTATTTCTACGTGAGGAATTTGATTCAGTGACACTAAAAGCTGTTAGATACCATTAGCTTTATATCCAAGTTCAAAATGAAACTGTTTCTCTGACAGTATTTGAAGGATCCTCTTTGCCATTAAAGTTCGTAGGAATCACAAACTGTCAAATAATGTCACTATTGCCCAGAGCCAGCGGGTGCTTTATGAGCACAGCACTCTCCGTGTTGCACCTGGGAAGAGGGGCCTTTGGACTTACAGCACCAGTATGGTCTTTGTGAATTAAATGCATTAAAATCATCACAGACTTTTAAAGAAAATTATACAGATATAAAATGTTTTCTTTAATTGCAGCAAGAAAAATAAAAGATGCCTGAACTCATGCCTGCACCTATTATTTTGATTTTTAGATCACCATCTCATATAAAAGTTAACTTTTTATTTTTAGTGAAACAAATGAATTATTAAATGAATGATAGCAAAAATGTAAAGACAAATGAAAAGTAATATTTAATAAATTGTTCCAATTATTTCCCTCAGTCTTCGAAGATTTACTCACACCACACTGTGATGCTGGAATACCCCAAGCTATATTACAAGCATGTACTGTTCAAAGATTAAATAACTGTGGTATACAGGTCACACCACATGCTGGTTCTAGATAAGATTTGGAAAAGCAGATAATGAGATGAAGATAGTTCTGGTCATACTCTGATATTTGATGATCAAAATCTTAAATGTATTAAATGATGTGTGAACCCATCTTTTTTAACAGAATTACACTATGTATATGTTTCAGCACGGATACATTTAGTCCAAAAGTACTAAAATGTAGAAGGAAACAGTAAAGGTCTGAGACATCCAAAAGTAATTTCCTTCTCAATATTTATCAATTTATGTTGACAGTCTGAGTCAAGCTCAAATCATGGACTCAGGCCAAGTAAAAAATTCCCAGCCTGTTAGACTCCACAGTTTAATTTAGGTATTTCAATACAGCATAATGAAGACATTTTATATATTTCAGGTTTTGATGTATCTGTTTTTCTCGTTCATGTTACACATTTGCCTTTCTAGTTCAACACAAAAATTTTCAGGAAAAATATTTTCAAGAAAAACTTCTCATGGAGCCATACCATTAATATGATTCATATTTTTGTGCAGTTAAAAACTTATATAATTCTTAAAAATAATTGTTGTTTACTTGCTTTGATTTCTAAATGTCTTTGATCTCATTCATTAATATTCATTAGACTTCTGATGTTGAACTAATGAGAATCTTACACATTTATGAGAAGTTATTTAAACAATGCTATCAATTTTTTTTCTGACTTATGTTTTTCATCAACACCAACAATACTTAATTCTTTGCATTCTTCAGTTTTTTTCTTCAAACTTCCTGAAGACATGGTACACATTCTCTAAAACAAAAGGGAACTCAACAAATGCATAACTAATTCAGCCAATTTTGAGCATGGAAGCCTAAGCAGATAACGAGAGAAACCCATGATACATGTGGACAGAATGAATAATGCTCAAAGGAAGAATCCAGTCACGACTTTTCAGCCTCAGGAGTTTCCAGGCACAAAAGCAGCAGTGCTGTCGCCAGAAAACAAGAGCAGCCACTGATATTTGCCATCCCAGGTGCACACACAACTGCAGGAACAGCGAGGCACTTGTGTGCTTTGTATTTCAGAAAACATCAGCTGTGCTCAGATTGAGTTTCCATTGTTTACACTCCATTTTCACAGGAAGCTGAAAGGAAGAGTCCCAGAATGCTCCTAGAATCACCTGCATTGCACACACAGC